ATTGGTGGCTGACTAAATACTTTTTTTGCCCCACTGTATATAAAATATGTACAAAAACACTATACTTCCCCTGCAAGTTGGTTCAACTTTAGATCTATCACATTATAATGGTTTAAAGCTGAACAGAGGCATGAATCTAAAAATAATAACCTTTCTCTATTCTTAGCATATACAAAATGCCCACATTTATACACAGGCCACATCACAAAAGTCTACAGCTCAGATGTCAGTGCTCAACAAGCTGTTGGAATCTGTCAGAATCATCTTTCCGAATCACTGAAATGTCATCTACAAAGTGATAGATTTACTCATTGTAGAGGTAAAAATAGGACTTTTCAATACGGAAAAAGTTTTGTGAGGATAGCACACATAATTACGAGCTGTGACATATTAAACATACTTTTCTTATCAAAATATGTTAATTGGGTCACCTTGAACAATGTAGTTTATGACTATTTATGTCTGGATATAATGTGATAATAAATTTAGTTTTCAAGCTTTATTACTGAAGAGGATGATTCGCTTTTGAGATATCTTATTCATCAATCATTTTGACTCAAGTTATGAATTGTTCTAATTTATTTTATTTGCCTAAAATCCTAATTTTAGAACTCCCTCTCTTTCATAGAAAAGTTGGCATGACCTTTAAGCAGAGTGCTGTCCAATGGTCTTTTTTAGAATGTCGCTTTAGTATGTTGGTCTGTCTTTTAACCTCCCATATTCCTCAAATCGAAATTATTTCCTTCTGGCTTGTGTAGATGGACAAATTAAGTTTGCTTTCATATGCATGACGCTTAAATTGCAACTTAACTGTATCTGCGCACACCACAAACTGAAAACTCTATTTTTTTAAAATATGCAAAGCTAACTCACCCATCTATCCATGTCTCCATGCTTTTGTTTCACTTCAAAGAACACACCCCTAGCATTTCTAGCAGTGGTCATCTTGAGTAAGGGCAGATGATTCATGTAGTATTTACTTCCTGGAATCCATCTACCTTAGCTTAGGCATGCAGGCAGGAGGGTGTGCTTAGCTGAGAAAGCCCTTTCTCCCCTCCTCCATCTAATGGGCAGCACAGTGGCTAAGTGGTTAGCACTTCTGCCTAGCTGCACTAGGGTCATTGGTTCAAATCCCAACCATGGCACTACCTTCCTGGAGTTTGCATGTTCTCCATGTGCCTGTGTGGGGTTCCTCCCACACTCCAAAAGCATGCTGTTAGGTTATTGGCGCCTCTCTAAATTGGCCCTAGTATGTGTATGAATGTGAGTTAGAGGCTTTAGATTATAAGCTCCTTGAGGGAATGGATTGATATAAATGTACAATATATATGTAAAGTGCTGTGTAAATTGATGGCACTCTATAAGTACCTATAATAATAAAAGAAAAAAATGTCCATGAAGACTCCTGGGATATATGACATAATTTGGCCTAGGCCAGAAACCGGGAAGCAACTGAAGAAATGGGAAAAAAAATTAAACAAGTAAATATAAAATACCTTCCTATCTATTTAGTAATGCTATTATAAAGAATGCAAATAGGTAATGTTGATTGAGAGAGTTTAGTTACACCTTAAGATGCTGCTGATGTCCTTCTGACCTCCATTAAAGTCAACCTTTTCAACACAGAGGAACCCCTGAAATAACTTTCCAGTTATTACTATTACAATTACTATATCTACAACTCATGATAAATTAGTGTGATGATCAGTGGGAAGAATGCTCTTTACACTTGTGATCATTGAGAAGAATTACCCCCTAGCTAAAATAGCTAAAAAAGATTAATGGTGTCAGTGGGAAGTTATCTGAGAGGTACAAATTACTCATTTCTAAAGGAACCCCTAGCAACCTCTGGAGGAACTCCAGGGTTCCATGGAACTCTGCTTGAGAAACCCTGATCTAAGTTGTTTCATGTTGTTTTGGGGAAATAGTGGTTCTGATGCAAAAAATCACCCTGTGTAACAACCTCTTATTACCAATATTAGAACTGCAGACATTATAGTACCATATGTGAATTGATGTAATATCTTATTCGGCCACAAGATGCCACTAGCAACAGTTTCAGATCCAGCTCTATGATAGGCTTGGCACAGGAAGTCTATGGAGGAGGAGAGAGGAATAAAGAAAAGGGGAGAGACGATTTGGTGAGGGGAGAGAGTAAGGTCAGTGCGGAGGGACTGGCGAAAAGAGGAACCCGCTGTCATTGTTGGACACCATCATCGCAGACATTGCAGCAGGACCTTAGAGGACTGAGAGGAGGCTGAACAGTTGAACTGAGTGAAAGATCATATAGGACATGAGTACTGCTGTCTGCAACTCCCCCCATGAGGTCGGTGTTACTCTGCTGAGTCGCCATTTTAGAGACACACTGACACAGAGAGAGATACCCATTGGAATTTCCTGCCAAGTCGCTGTACTGATTTTGCCAGCACCAGAGACTAGTAAAGTGTGTGTTGTCTCCCTTGGTTGCCTGCAAAGTCTGAATACATATATCGGAGACAGTGAAATTACAGAGAAATCCCTAAATGAGAGATATGTGCTGAAGTGAGAACAAGCCATTTACCCAGGATTGCTACTATATTTTTCAAAGATATTTTTGTAGGATTTGCTGATGAAATCAGCCACATTCTGTTTAACAGTTCACCTATGTTAAAAAGAGCTCCAATGGGCCCCATCTAGAGACTGCATTTTTGGAACTTTCGTTCTGGTCAGATATCAGGAGACAAGGGGAGGGTTGGCACTCATTATAGTTAAGTGCTGGTAACTATTTTATACAGTAACATTTATACTTGTTAATATATGTGTTTGGTATAGGACATCTGATGTCCATAAGTTAATATACATGATTATCCAATACGGGTACTAAGATTCACTACGCTTAGAGTCATAGGTGATGTTTGCACCCTGTTTCTAGATGGAATAAATCCCCCAGGGGAATTTTATCTATTAAAGCCAGTGTGTGTTTCATTGAATTCTGCTGTGTTGTCAGTCCAGGTAAGAGCTGTGAAACCCACATCATATACCAATATATTGCTAACACCTATGGGTGTGCTACACCTGTATACAGCCATTATTCTTTCCCTATCTGGCAAGCCTGTGAAGTAACTTAAAATATATGCAAGTAGATAGTGGTCTAAAATCAGTTCACTTCTATGGACTAAAGAACATCTGCACCTTATTATTATTATTATACAGGATTTATATAGCACCAACAGTTTGCTCAGCGCTTTACAATATAACGGGAGACAATACAGCAACAATACAATTCAATACAAGAGGGTTAGGGGGGCCCTGCTCCTTGGAGCTTACAATCTAAAAATGTGATGGAGATGAAGATAGGGGAGAAAGTTCTGTAGTTCAAATTAACAGTGAGCAGTCTAGGGTGGCAAGACTGCTCCATTGTGGATTCAGTACAGTGTGTCAGCGTTGACACCCCAGGTAAGGAAGTGTTTTACAGGCAAGATCCCCAGGTGAAAAAAAGCAATAAAGCCTGAACAATGAAAACAAATGTAGCCACCACAACTAAACACTGGTAAATGACATTATATGCAATTATTATGCTGGGTTTTAATTACAATATAAACCAAACCTTAGGCAATCCAGTAAGAAACAGTATAACAGTGCAATTGAAGACATAGTATGGTGAATGCTTGTTCCAGTCCAGAATTTCAATGGACGCTACCTACTTGGAGAGCTCACATTATGCAAAGTGAAGGTCAGGAGTTCCTTCACATCCCACTTTCCAATGTAGGTACCTCAATAATCTTTTGAAAGGTTATCACTATGAAATTTGAGAGGATAGGACTCAATTCTAACCTACCTACAAATGTCGTATTTCCATACAGCACAAGTCTACACATGGGAGCATTGGAGCTAAAAGTTTAGATGGGGAGGGGGTATTATTATTAAACTTATTTGTCCCAAGTGCCAGATAGACTAGTGCACCACTAATATTGGCAACAAAGTTCTCTCTAGCAAGTTGAAGGAACCTTTTGACAAGCCTAGAAGACTCCAGCTTGTGAAGAAAGAGATGCTCTTGCGTGACAGGTGTAGATGACTTCAATAAGGTTCTTAGGCCTTTCACTGTTAGCAGGGTTTTTAAGTACAAACATAAAGATTTTCAACATTATATACTGTATGTATTCATACAAATTGTATGCCAATATAATTACAGTTAGACAGATATATATTCATCTGCAACTTACAATGCACAGTATATAAAGAGTTAAGGAGGGGAATGAAGTAGGGTACAGAAAGAAAGGAAAGAAAAGAAGAATAAGAGTTTCATCCAGGGGGGAGACCAAAACATGGTAAGTGGAATAGCAAGAAAGGCCACCTTGATAAGATACTGTATGTATGTTACGTTTCTGTTTTGGATAGTCACATTTGGATAAAAATATCTAAATAGTCCATGAGGCATAAAATGTATCCATTTTGTCTGTGCATGTACCTAATAGTTCCTCCATGAGCATAATATCATTAACTATGCTGACCCAAAAGGACAGAAGATGAGGTGTGTTGTTATAGTTTTCAAAAAACTGTTTTGGTGGGCCTAGCTGGTACTGTGTGATAATGTGATTGGCCAGCACTGGACAATGAAAGATCAGTGATAATAAGCATGTTCTGTAGGCCATATCAACCAACAGTTTATAATAGTCAGATCAGTGAGTGGTGGTTGCATAAGCTTGACTTACTAAAACAGTTGGCATTTTCACTTAGACCAGTGAAGCTGAATTAATTTCAGTCACCCAAGCATATGTAAAGTGTATCCCTATTTTCCAAAATTCTTCTGCACATGCTTGAGTGTTTAAAGTTAACACAGGTTAACTAAGCAAGGTCAGAAATGTGCATCTCTATTAAAGCAACCTCAATTAAAGATTCAATAGATTCAATTAGTCCATGTCCATATTAAAGTGTTACTAATTTCCCTCTCTATATCTTGCAGAGCTTGCAGAATTCTGTCCACCCTGCATGTCACTGTCTAAAGTGTTACTAAACCCTGGACCCTGCATTTACTATATCTGGTCTCCACCCTGCAATCACTATATTGGTCTCCCCGACCCTGCATTCACTATATGGTCTCCCCAGGTCCCTGCATTTCCCGGGACTCCACAGACCCTGCATTCACTATATCTGGTCTCCCTGGACCCCGCATTCCCTATATCTGGTCTCCCAGGACCTATATCTGGTCTCCCCGGACCCCGCATTCCCTATATATCTGGTCTCCCACAGACCCTGCATTTACTATATCTGGTCTCCACAGACCCTCATTTACGATATCTGGTCTCCCCGCATTACCCTCCACAGACCCTGCATTTACGATATCTGGTTCCCCGGATATCTATATCTGTCTCCACCCAGGACCCTGCATTTACTTATATCTGGTCTCCCCGGGACCCTGTCCACAGACCCAATTCTGCATTTACGATATCTGGTCTCCCCGGACCCTGCATTTTTTACTATATCTGGTCTCCCCGGACCCTGCATTTTGGCCCTGTGCTGACTACTTATCTGGTCTCCCACAGTATACAGAACATGAAAATGCAATTCTTTTAGTAAATACAAACTGCTAAATATTTTAACCTTTTCTCATCAGCAGTATATAGCAGTCTTGTGAATTCTAAAATCAGTGTCCAGCAGAGCACTGGTTAATCTTGTAGGAGGAGGTTTTGTTCTCCCCTGATTGTCCTATGAGGCTGCAGGACCCCTGACCCTCTGTCTAGAAAGTGCTGATTGGCCCTGTGCTGACCAATTGCACTCTCCCAAAAAAGCTTTGCTCCGCAGCCAGGCACACAGGCTCATTCACACGTTTCTTCAATGACCAGTCTAGGGGTGTTGTTTTTGTTGTTTTTAAAACTTGGATAGGGTTTATGGGAATTAGGTGGGATACTCCAAAAACAAGAACTTTGTACAACTTGAGGACTTCTTCAGAACAAGCAATATTAAAGTCCATGCTTGTAGCAAACAGTAGACTTCAGCTTTCAGGTTGTAGTAATAGTAGTAGTTAACTATAAGACTCTTTCTTTAGCCTTAAGAGCAGAGACCCTTTAAGTTGAAGACTAGATGGAAAAATCCCTTTAGGACCCCAGCCGGTATCCCCTTTAACTAGACCCTCAGGTGACTTTCTAGCACCATAGGGGTGGCAAAAGCATAAAGGTCTCCAAGATCTTTCAGAAGCATCTGTATTCACTCAAGACAGCTGGTTACCTCCTTCCAAATTCCAAGTGACACCTTACTGTTTCCAGACCAGATCTTTGGCAGACAGCCCCCCTCAGTATGGTTTCTTTAGTTCCAGGGTGTCAGCATCCAGGTCCACAGGTCACCCACCTGAAGCTTCATGACTGCAGACATAACAGCATTGGCTGGGAGGGCAGCATGTCCCATCCAGGCTGGACAAATCATCTCCAGGAAAAGACCCCAAGTTCAGTGTGCTCACTGAATATATACAGTCTCTCCAACATGCCATCAGAGCCTGTCTCTTTGAGATAGGCCAAGGCTGTATCAATATTCATGCCGCCATCTGCATAGCTCCACACCTATCATCCAGAAACATCTTAAGTTTTCTGAATGCAGAGGGAGCTATCAGACTGACAGCAGCTGAACACACCGAGCAGACCAGAGTACAATGAGCAAACTATGATTTTACCTAACAAACAATCACAGTCACACTGCCTACAGTGTGGCAACTAAATATACCTATCAAAACACATACTAAATCTATCTTTCTAAGCTTAGTACCTATTTAGGAGGGTGCTATATATATATATACAGTATATGTAAATACTGTATATATAATCATACATATGTATACCATATAATTATAGACAAATATACATTCATCTGCAGCTTACATACACAATATATATAAATCATACTCTGTAATTTACTGCCAAGCTAGTAGAACATTTTCATCTACTAAAAATCAGAATTGGAACATTTCAAGTGAAAATCTGCAAAGTCAATTGTAAAAGCAAAGAACATCTCTGTCAGACCTATCTCTTCTTGGTGGAACTGATGATTTATTAATCAGCAATCTAAACAGAGAACTAATGAAATTTCTCTCACAAGGCTGCCTACGATTTCCTGCCTGAGAGAAACCAGAAACTAGCTAGAAAAAGGCACTTCATTGTCTAAGAAAACCCTGACACAGAAGAAATGACATTATTTTCTATACTTATATTTGATTAGCATTATGAAAGTTATATCTTATTCTTGTTTTCATAAAATTTACTCAAAATTCACCCATGTGAACTCAACATTAGAGCTGCTGCTTCTTCACGCTAAACTGGTTAATTTGGAAAAACAAAAGGAGGTACGGCCATGATTGGAGCATCATGGCTAGATGGAGGCAAAACTGTCAAGTTGCCATCAGCCAAAGTGGAGGCTTCAGATCATCAGACCATCATGGCTACATAGAGACAAGACTGTCAAGTTGCCATTATCCAAAGTGGAGGCTGCAGACAAACATCTTCAAATTGGCTTTACCAGAGAATCATGCATTGGCTAGATGGAGGTAAGACTGTCAAGTTGCCATCATCCAAAATGGAGGCTGCAGACCATCATGGCTAGATGGTGGCAAGACTGTCAAGTTACTATCATGCAAAGTGGAGGCTGCAGACAAACTTCTAGAATCTTCTATACCAGAGAATCATGCAATGGCTAAATGGAGGCAAGACTATCAAGTTGCCATCATCCACAGCGGAGGCTGCAGACAAACCTCTTCAAATGTGCTATACCAGAGAATCGTGCAATGGCTAGATGGAGTCAAGACTGTCAAGCTGCCATCATCCAAAGTGGAGGCTGCAGACCATCATGGCTAGATGGTGGCAAGACTGTCAAGTTACCATCATGCAAAGTGGAGGCTGCAGACAAACTTCTTCAAATCTTCTATACCAGAGAATCATGCAATGGCTAAATGGAGGCAAGACTGTCAAGTTGCCATCATCCACAGCAGAGGCTACAGACAAACCTCTTCAAATCTGCTATACCAGAGAATAGTGTGATGGCTAGATGGAGTCAAGACTGTCAAGCTGCCATCATCCAAAGTGGAGGCTGTAGACCATCATGGCTATACGGAGGCAAGACTGTCAAGTTGCTATCATCCAAAGTGGAGGCTGCAGACAAACATCTTCAAATCTGCTATACCAGAGAATTGTGCAATCTGCTTTGGTATTCTACTCCACTGGATATGAATTTGCAAATTTGATTTTCAAATTAAAAATAATGTATGGCCCTTCTTCATCTTAATGATACCAAAAAGCAAAACATGCATCTCCCAATGTGCAGGCCACCTAATATGTTGATATCAGCCTGCATGACCCTTGCCATCAGGAAGGTGCTTCAAGACTAAAAAAAAAGAAAAAATAGTGGTACATTAGTGTGACATACCTGGTAGAGGCCAAGCTGTCAAGAAAGCTTCCCGTACACCTCCTGTCCTACACCCCCTGGAGTTAGTGTAGCAGGACGATCAGTGGCACAGGTAGAGCCTGACACTTTGAGCAGTATGATGACAATCTGGATACTGCTGGAATGCTCTGGATGCAGGAACTTGTTCAGAATACTGCTACACAGATGGAGCACAGAGACTTGCAGATGCAGAAATTAAAGCCATAGTCAATGCAAGCCAGAGTCAACAACCATCGGGTAGAAGTGGTACCAATTCAGAAGGCAGAAACAGAATCAGAAGCCAGGCTGGGGTCATTAGCAGACAGGCAGAAGAAGTACAAAAACAGGAGGCAGACAATGGAGTCAAAACATAACCAAAGATCAGCAACAGGAGATTAGAATCAAGAAGAGTCTGGAGCAAACCAGATCAAAGCACAGGATTATCAGGATACAGGCAGGGGAGGACTGACCATTTGGAAACTCGGGCACTGCCTGAGGGCCCGGGATCAGTAGGGGGCCCTGATGAGATGCCCCTGGTACCTTTTTCATAGGCAGAGTTTGGGCAAGGACACAGGGTCCCATGATCCCCTATTGCCCGGGGGCCCATGAGTTGTCAGTCCGTCCCTGGATACAGGTTTGGACACAAGTGAGGAAAGAAAAAACAGAGGCCTAGTGCATTACCATAAAAAATGTTTAATAAAAAATAAAGTAGGTGTTGTACTCACAAACGACAATATAGTCAAGGCACATCATAAAGAACAGCTGGGTCAACACCGCACTGAGTAACAGTCTGCAATAGGGAGTATAGACATCCAAAAGGCTGACGCGTTTCGAGGACTTGCCTCTTCCTCAGAGCCAACTGACCAAATGTCTGCTCCCTCTTTTATATGCTCACTACTAGGTAAACCAAAGGTCACATGGGCCAATCTGGACACTCCCCTGTGCAGGTGGAGGAGTCACAGGGGCAATTGACATAGTGTAAGTAAACACGAAAGGTCTATAAAAATATATATAAATATATATGTGTATAAATAAAAACCATTGAAACTAGTGACAATCATAAAATCATATGAACCATAAGAAGTGTGCACAGTGAAAAATAGATAAGTGGAATGTTACTGTTTTTTCTTTCCTCATTCAGTATATTTGGATTCCCCCCGTCCATTTGAGGGCAGCAAGGTGTGCATGTTCCAGGACATTCCTTATGTGGTTGTAGACTGCATCGAGTCCATCCCCAAGCGCAGGAGCATTTGTGTTTGCTGGTTCTGTGGACACAAGTCACTGAAGCTGACAACCACTTGGCAATTACCATTAGTTTCTATTATGCTTCAAATAGGCCACTGGACACCAAAAAACAGAGCCGTACATGCTACAGGATAATGTTCATGTGCTCAGATCGGACTCAGCCTGTGTAATGGTCCAGGAACTGCATGTCCGAACTGTGTGCATTTGCAGATCTTCGAGCATGGTCATGCATCTTTCTAACAATTAGCTTTCCATGCCAAGAGATCAAAGCTGATGGTTAATAGAGCAGAACTCCTAGCACACAGAATAATGCCTTTAAGGCTTCCCTTACATTAAATCTCCCTGTAACCATAGCAACAACCTTCCCTGTAACCCTACCACTATCCCTCAGACTAAAACTTTCTGTTCCCCTAAAACTAACCCTCCTTTCTTCTGCATACTGAACTCTTCTGCACCACAATCACTGGCACTCAAGGCCAAGCCTTCTGCACTGGGGTATACCAGCACAGAGATCCCATTGCCGGAATTTGCTGCTCTAAAAAAGGCACTTCTGAGAATGCCATACTCTGGGATTTGGACAGGGTAAAACTTCCCTTATTCTTCCTTCCAGCAGCCTATGCGCCTAACAAATTTAACTCAAACATCATCACTGTACTCTTTGACTGAATATACCATGGCAGATAAACTA